TTTAAACTAGAAATCCGACTTCTGGGTTTATGATAAAACTAAATGAATTGAGAACCTTGCAGATATATATGTGTTTATATGTTCAGAATAACATTATTCATACTAACTAAGCTAGGGAAACAGTGCAACTACAGTGTGGATGAATAAATACATGGATGAATTGTAGACATATATCTACACGTAGATATATGTCTACATATGTAGACATATATGTATATATATATATACATATATATACAGAGACACATACACTCAAGGAATATTACTAAACTTAATGTTATTCATCTTTGAAAAATAAGGAAATTATATAATTTGAATGAATACAGCATAATCCTAAGTGAAACTAACAAAACACTAAAATAAAAATACTACATGATCTTTCCTTTATGTAGACTCTAAAGAAAAAACTGAATACATAAAAGCAGATTACAAGGGTGGTTGGGGGGGAATGGTACATGTGGATAAACATTACCAAATCTGTGGTGATGTGGTATAAGTAAATGTAGAGACCTAATGAACAGCTGCTGAATCTATGTAGCAATGTGTATTGTACACTGGATATCTGTTAAGAGAATAGATTTAGGGTCCCCATCACACATACAAAAGGCTATCAAAAGGTAATGAGATGATGGGTGTGTCAATGGACAGTGTATATCAAGATGTCATGGTATATACCTTACAGAATAAAGTAAATAACAATAAAGGGCAAAATGTGAACCATCCCTGAAAAAAACCATGAAATCAAAATCTTGCAATCATTATAAATATATGCAAATTTTCTGATCTTGGGTCTTCTTAAAATATAATTTTAAATCTATGGAATTAATATCAAAAGTAAATTATGAAATTGTACTGATCCTATTGTCCATGAATGAATAATTTATCAAAATTTTTCTTTGAAAATTATTGCTTAATAATTATAATATTATGCACAAGCTTAATATTATGCACAGATTTTCAAATTTAATTTAATGTGTAATCTAAGAAATGTACACTTAACTTGTGAGGATTCTTTTCAACATAACTGTAGGGTTCTTAGGTAAAATTTGAAAATCTAAAAAACTATTTGGAGATATAATGTTATCTAGAAAACTGACCTGTAATTTAATTTTAGTAAATATTTTGTGCTTTCTCTTACTGAAAAGTTCCTAAATACTACAAATTTAAAGTTTTCTGATTTTTTTCCTATGTTAGAGTAGTATTAGAAATACAGCAAATACAACAGTAAATACTTCAGGAAAAATAGCTATTGCTATTTTAAAACTTTTAATCAAGTTGTATAAAATTTAAGTTTAGTTACATTAAACTTAATATACTAAGCAAATGCTTTTTTAAAATGCATATATCACAATCAAAGTCAGGTATATGTTAAATTCCCACAAAATAAAATGCACTTTCATTTTTCTCATTTATATATTACATAATTTTAACATTTATTAGACTATTCTAAATGAACTTGAAGAATATATTTCTGAGTTCTTTTAGATTAAGTCAATTCAACTGAATCTTCTACAAAGTGTAGGCAGTTGTAGACATTATTTGACATGACATTTAACTACAAATAATGTTGAGAAATAATACTTTACATAAATATTATTAATCTCAATCATATGGAAATTAATTGAGCTACACAGCTGTTTGATCTGCTGCTGTAAAATTTATAGATGTGTTAATAAACTACAGTTCACATTTACTTTCATAATTATAAGAGATAAAAACAAATTGCTCTATTCCATAGAGCTCATAGTTAACACTAATTGTCCAACTCTCTGCTCAACTCTTCTTTTGCAAGAATTAATATGATAAAAACTGGCATGACTTTGCAAATTTAATTATATTTTTGTTGGCTATCAATAATTATATTATCCTTGTTTTTAGCAATACTTTGACACTTACATTCTGTGAATCAAGGGGTAACATCATTCAACATTTGTTTGAGAACCTAAATATCTACTACATAGCACTTAAAACACAAGTAGTACTCCCAAATGAAAGAAATTGTGACTTTTGCTATCCTTAGATTGATTCTTTAAAATATAAAGGCAATGAATCGGACCTTTAGGGATTCAATAAGAGTTAAGCTCTTGGTTTCTGAGACAATGTAAGAGTACACTGCATTGAATTATTCATTTGACTACAAAGGATTTTACCACTTGGATGCCCTTGGATTTGGCCTGCCTATCCCCCCATCCATACCCTGTCAGTCCCTCATACTCTGTTAACTTAAATGCTAAAACTTTAGATCTTAGTCCAATTGGTAAGGGAAGAGATGGCTTTTATCTGTGTAGGAACATATCAGATAACTTACTTTTTAATGAAAAGAAACCGTACCCTTCAAGAAAAATGCACACGTGGGTTCGCACGTAACTCAAGCAGTCAACATACCTGAAGCACATGTGGGTATCACATACTTGGCCCAGCTTTTGCACACAGCACACAACAGTCTTTCCTTGCACCCTTTAGAGTCACTCAGTCACTTGAAAGTTCAACCTACTCAGAAAGGATTCCATTCAGGTCTAAATTTAGTCCAGAAAGGTCTTAGTGGTCCTTCCCTCCTCCCACCTCACCTAACTTATGCTTGCACACCCTATGACCTTCTGTGTCTGTGCTCATAACCATACCATTGTCAGCTGAAATTATAACTCAATTCCTTTTGTACTTAAATAAGCAGCAAAATATGAGTGTTACTGTTCACAATATCTCTCTATCTTGTTCTCAAACTGTTCTCTTTCTTCTCCCTGATCTAAAGTCCCTCTTTTCCTTCTGATGTTAAACCACTCTGTCCATGCCTTAAAACTTTCTCATAATGTAATCTGGAACTGTTTTTCCACAGGTGCTGAAGATACCTGCCCTGTGGAGGTGAGGCTGGTGACTTCCAAACTTCTGGTAATTTTTTCTCTTTTCAGAGCTGCTCCTAGGTCACTCATTCCTATTAAAGTCACTTTGCTTTGGGGGCTTATTCCTACCATGAAGTTGATTACCAGCTTCGAGAAGGCTTCACACTCCCAGTTTATCACCAGAGTCTAAGAACATTATCCTTACATGATAGGATGCCTGCCCCTCTAAAAGATGTGCATTTTGTGACATGCTTGACTTGTAAGAAAGAAAAGTAATTGCAAATGCTCATTAAGTTGAGACATGAACTGTGTATGAACATTTCTTATTTAGAATAAGTACAAAAACCCTACTGTGTAATTCTATTTGAGGCTGAACAAAAAAATCAATAACCATATAATAAACACACCTTACAACAATGCTTTCTTCTATTACAAAATACAATTTGTCACTGTTTATTCCATTAAAATTGATTTCTGAAAGTCTATTTCCTTTCAGCATCCTCAAGCTAAATATCTCTAACAATATGCTGCTTTACAATATTTTTAAATTAACTATGACATCTGTACTGTGATGTCTATGTTTTTTATCTATATAGCATAAATATTACTTATATACATGATCATTTAATCTATGATAAGTCCTATGGTCAGAAGCCCACTAACTCTTGTAATTTATATCTAAAGAAAACTTTTTCCATCCCCTTCTACTAGCAATAGTGAGGGTATACAGGGGAGAAATTTTTAGTATGGTTTTTGTTACCATAACCTAAAGATCCATATTCCCTTTCATTTTCCCCAGTTTATCTTGGAAAAAATACTGTACAGTGGTTTTTCCAACCTTTCCCAAAATATTGAGGTAATAACTTCAATTAACAGATTCAAAATACACACATCTGCTTTTTATATTAACTATGTTGGATTTGAAACAGAAATATCCTTTACATTTTATTTTGCTATTGTTAACTTAGTGTAAGATCACACTAAGCCTGCTCTTTGCTTGACTGGTTTTTACAATGGTCGTTGGCCAAATAAAATATCATGTTGACTTAAATATCCAGAAAATATGCTTGAAGAATTTACTGTTTTGTTTTGGAGCTTACCTCTCAATTTTTCGCTATTTGTCTTTTCCCCTAACACTTTTCTCTCTTTCCCCCTACTACTGTTTCCTCTGTTTCCCCTTCTTTCTTATTTCTGCTGTTTTTTGAAAATTAGAGCTACATTATTTACCTTTTTTCTCAGTTTTGGAAAAGTCAACATTAGCAATGACAAAGTCAAAAGATATTGGTGAACATACGGTAAGTGTCCACAAGTTCTGTTATTGTGTTTTGACTTTAAGAAAGGCCTGGGTGTGGTGACTCACACCTGTAATCCTAGCTACTTGGGAGGCAGAGGTCAGGATGATCATGGTTTGAGACCAGTGTCACAAAAAGTTAGTCAGATTCCATCTCATCCAATAAGCCAGGAGTGGTGGCACATGCCTGGCATTGCTGGTACTCAGGAGGCCTAAGAAAGTACATCATGATCTGAGGCCAATGAGACTCCGTCTGTAAAATAACTGGAGCAGAAAAAGGGATGGGACATGTCACAAGTGATACAGCAACTGCCTAGCAGGCAAGAGGCCCTGAGTTCAAACACCAATACCATCCTTCCCCCCGCCGCTGCCAAAAATTAGAAACTTGTTGCAATGAAACATGTCTACCTCTTTCCTTTATCTTTAAAATATTGGGAGAAAATATTCCTCAAGCCAAGATTTCTAAATCATATTTTGTGTCATGGACCACTTTCAGCATAATACAGCCCTTTCCTGTAATATTGCTTTAAAAGTCTAAAGCAAGATAAGACAAATTACAAGAAAAATCAATGTTACTGAGCCTAATTACCTGATGTTAAGGAATCTGTGTACCCCAGGACAAACTTATATGATTCAAGTATCTAAATTCCATTTGGCCAAAAAAAGCTTTGATACAGTTATCAAGTGAAAGCAATTCATCATAAATCAATTTCATCATAAATACTTTACAATAACTCAAAACAAAAAGAAATGAAAAATACGATTTTTATAACAATTATGCAAGTCAGTGCCTAACAAATATGATGTAAGACAATCTGAGACAGGAAAAAAAAAAAAGGAAGGAGACAGTGTTGGAATAAACTCATTCATACCTTTATAGCAGTGGATGCAATTTGTATGTGGTGAAGTCTCTTAAGAGTGCTGTCCCTGTCAATGAAGTAGGAGGCAGCAAGTTGATGGAGAGTCTCCAGAGTGACAGAAGAGCTGTTGGCGTTGGAATCGCTCCCTTCAGCTCGCTTGCTCAGCTTCCGCTTGTCCACAAAAATTGTGAGTGACTCCTCTCCTGCATTAATAATATCACAAATTAATCCATTTCCTACTTACACGCAGTTTCTCTCTCATCTGCAGGTGGAATGTCTAGAATATGTTGTAGTAAAACAAAGTAGTGACAAACACCCAAAAGGTGAAGATTTGTTGTTTTCTGAGCACTTTGGTTTTGGTTTTTAAATTTAGCAATATTTCGAAAGCACCTAAAAATGTGTCAGGGAAACTGAAGGGTTTAAATTTAGTGAATGTTGAATACGTAGCTTTTGAAGAACAGTTTCTCTAGTTTTTATTGACTTTCTCACAGTTAGCTTCCTTAATACTAATGTGATCCCAAAAGCAAAATAAGACAGTATATAAAGTGAATTTAGGTAGATTTGCACGAAATTGTGTTAATTCAGAACTTTTTAAACAGAGAACATTATATCAAAATGGACGCATTTATAAAGCACGACCAGTTTTCAACTGCACATTGGTAATGCAGAAAAAGCACAGTTATGTGCATATAGTTTCATACTTTTATATTAGTAATACATTCAGAAGTTCCCTACATATGAAATAATGAAATAGGGTGCACTAATAAGCTATACTACATTTACTAGCTTCAATACAAAATATAGAACCTGGCAATTGATTTTCAATGGTGAAATTTAAAGAATGTTAAATTAAGCTGCAGTTTTCAATGTTCAAATGTTAACAAAAACACCCGTGTTATTTAAGATAAACATGATGTCCTCTTGATCATCAGACTTCCATATTATTGGAAATTCATCTAACACATGATCGTCAAACTCACTGTGTGCTCTCTTTTCTCAGGAACCCATCTGCTCTGGAGGTATTTTGCCCAATTGTAAAGTGACAAGCTAGGTTTTAAAAGGCCAAACAAGAATATCTAATAGAGCAATTCACATATACCTTCTATCAAACTAATACATCTTTCAAATGACATAGCATAGGTGACAGTCAAATTCAAAGTTAAGAGCTCCCATGCCTTCAGAAGACATTGGGTAACTATAAAAGGATATAAAGTATCAATACCTTATTAGTTCATGTTTGTTTTTTTTTTCTTTATTATTGTGCTGGGTGGGGGTACAATGTGGCATATACAAAGGTTCTTACAATGTATAAAATATATCATACTTGAATACATCCCCTCCACCACTCTCCTTTATCCCCACTCCCCTGATTCTGGAATAGTTTCAACAGGTATCATTTTTTTAATTTACTTACATGTGTACATATTTTTGCATTGTATTCAGCCCCTTTTTCCCTGCCACCACCTCCCAACTACTGGTGCTACACACACACACACACACACTGGCAGAGCAGAACCTGTTTTGCCCTCTTGTTCTCCTATTTTGTAGAAGAAAAAAGATAAAAAATAGAACAAAAACATGATGGTTTTCCTTCTTTGAGATAAAGGTAACTAAACAGGGAGTTTCCTTGTGATAGTTCCATGTATGCATGTATTAAACTCTAATTGATTTATCTCTTCTAATTTTCTTCATTCTACCTTAGTACATTTTTATGGTGGTTTCAGATGCTTTAAGACTTCTGTATTCATTCTTGTATAGAGAGTATATCAACCATATTCAAGTCCCTAATTTCCTTCTTTTACCCTACCCCTCCCATCCATGACTTCTCCTTAGTGTGACCAGTGTTTCATAATATTGTTGAATTTATATTACGTCTGCGTTACACATGTGAGAGAGAACATGTTGCTTTTGGACCCCCAACCTGGGCCCTAGAAATCAAGAACACTCAGGAAAATAATCAAAGAAAAGTTATCCCTCAGGAGTATAGCTAGGTGGTCATATCACCAGAAGCATTACGATGTGTATTAGGACAGTTTTAGTTGGGAGACTCACAAAGTGACAGGAATACATATGCAAAAAACTGTGAAAACAGACAAAAATCTCAGAGAAGTTCAAACATGAGGAAATTGTGTTTAACAGATGTCAGACTGACCAGTGCATCTGAGAAAAACTGCCATGTTGTGAGAGAGAAACAGAACAAATACCACCAGGCTGTCATCCAAGAACTCCTAAAGTGGCTCCATCACTTATGCAAGGGATAAGACTCAAAAAGACAAAGACTGCATATTTTCTGTCATATGTGGAAGACAGACACAATACAAATATTAACAATATTATGAAAAACAGGTCATGCTAAGGGAAGGTCACTAACAGGAGGGGAGGAAAAAGTAAGGAAGTAAAGGTGAATATGGGTGACGTACTTTCTAAATAGGATATTTAAACCTGCTGAAATCACCTCAAGAACGGAACTAAGGTAAAAAACAGAAAAATAGAGGATATGAACCAATTTAGGTTATAATACATATGAACATGGAAATGTTATAATGAAACTCTCTGTGTTGCTACCTTGAACAAACAGAAATACCTTTTTTCATAAACGGAGAGCAGAAAGGTAGCACAGGTCCTATCTAGGAATTGGTACCAGTGGGATGGGGGAGGATACAAGGAAAGGGTGAAGAAGGGTGAATATAGTGGAAATATTATGTACTCATGTATGAAAATGAAAAAATGAGACTTGTAGAAACCATTTTAGCAATGGAGAAAGGGAAGATAAAGAATGAATGGAGAGGGTGAATTTGTAAGAAATTTAGTAAACGTGAGAATGTACCCCCAGTAAAACAATATAATAGTAATAATAATAAGGTTAAAGTAATATGACAAACATATCTTGGCTAATATAATTAAAGCTGGTGATCTTAATATAAGCTCTTGTAAATTCAGGTCAAACGTTGCTAAATGAGGAAATAGAAAAATATTTAGAGCTCTTCACTACAACCTGCAAAGTAGTTTCAACAGTAATACTTTTAAATGGAGCAACAGACATACACTGCCAATATTAGTATACATTTCTTAGATGGAAATACCTCTGGTGACAGTAAAAATAAATAATGATAAAGATTTATACAATCTTCTGGATAAGCTAGAATTTATAAGCAAATAATGAAACCTATACTAATAACATAGGAAGAAATTCATTTTAAAGTAGTAACTTCCAAGTATAAGAAATTATTTTCAAAAACATATTTACAAAGAATACTTATAAAAGGTGACAGTATATTTTGTTACAAAGAAATATTCAGTAGTTTAAAATCTGGAAAAAAGCTTCATTCAGTGATTGCAATATAATAAAATTAAAACTTGTTAGTAAATTTTAAAAAGAACATGAAAAAATTAGTATATAATTTTTGAATATAAGAAAAGGCAAAATTATTAATTTTCAAGGAAATTATGATCATTTCAGAATTGAAGGGATGCATGTTGAAAGAAATAATTTTAACATAAAAATTACATGTTATGTAGGTCATAAAAATGAATGAGTTGACTATATAAATCTAAACTTAAAGGAAAATGTCAAAAATGAGTTTATATAAAGTCAAAAAGAAATACCTGAACAAACAGAAACACACTAATGACTTTTTAAAAAGAGTAGAGATTATAAATAAATGTCAAAGTAGCTCTTTTCAGAAGGAAAAAACAGAAAATATACAAACAAGTAGTCAACATACTTTTTTTTCACAGAAATAGAAAATTACATAAAGAATCAATGGAATAAACCTATAATGAAACAGAAGAAAAAAATGCAAAGCATGAAAATATTTTGTAAAAAAATTTGTGAATATGTTCAGTTGTCACAGAATATCTACCTACCTACACAAATACACCTATATATACCCAACAGATCCAAACAATTTTAGAGCAATTTTGCCAAAATATTAAAACATCACACAGTCCAAGAAATGTTTCCAGAGTATCGAAAATGAAGAAAAAATTCCTACTTTATCTTTTTTAGCTGAATGTAATTTAGGCACAGATATCTGAAAAATATACAAGCACACAATAGATAATAAAATTTTTGAATATTGATACAAAAGAACATATAGACCTATAGAAAATATATCCATCAGTACATTTGAAAGGCTGAAATCCCATGAACAGGTAGGATAACTAGTAGTGTAAGGGTGTTTCAATATTAGGAAACCATTAATATAATTAAGCATATTAACAGATCTAGAAATAAAAATTCTTATTGCCATAAATGCTTAAAATGCATGTGAATGTAATTATATGTATTCCTGACTAGGTAGGAATTAATAAATTAGGAATCAGTGTTTAATTCCTTAAAAAGATGAGCTATGGGTACTTAGAGCCTAAAGTTACCATCTTACTTAGTGGGTAAAATCTCAGACAACAGTCCAATTAAAAGAAAATCCAGACAAACACTCCACAATTGGTATGCCTAATGATGATAAACATACCAAAATGAAAATACAAAAAAAATGCCAATTAGAGTGACAGTCTTAGAAAGAAGCATGTAAAATATGCTTCTTTGCTGTTATAAACACAGACTACTCAGGTAATCAATGGACAAACTCCCATACACAGCAATAGAACTTAGGTAGAGCAAAATAATAACATTACTGCCCCAATAGAATGAAAAATTCTAACTAATTATAAATAACAACTGATGAAAGCATTTAAAGGGACAAGAAAATGTTAAAACTATTCAAGCAAAATTATAACAATGGACAAAGGTATATTGCTTAAAAGGAAAAAAAATGTAAAACCTATATGAACAAAATTATAAATCAGTCCTGAATGTTGGAAAAATAGACTTTAACAGATGACATAATTATTTTACTTGAGCAACAACGTTCAACATTAAAGTGTGTCAAATTTCTTTGTGTTAATGTATAATGACAATATAATCTGAGTTTTCAAAAAATAAGCCATTTTCTGCTCCCTAGATCTAGCATTCCAATTTAAAAAATGGAAAAAAAAGTTTATCAAGTACAATTTATGAGGAAAAGTTTCCAAAAGAATAAGGAAAAGTAAAAATATCTTACTACATAAGAATATGCATTATAAGGTCTCTGTAATAAAAGGAGAGTAGTGTTAATACAGGAGCAACAACACATACAACAGAAAAAATTCATTAAGTAAAATTTTTTATGCTAATTTAGCATAAAATAAGACTGATCTATTA